AACCGCACTGGCCACAAACTCAACAACGAGCCGCTCAAGCCAAGTGGTGCCCTCAATCACAAAAACAGTTTCCACATCGTCCTCCTGCTCCTTTTTCTCTTGGCTATCGCCTTCATGGAGCGTACCGATGCCGATGCTTGCCGAGGAACGACGTGATTGCCGCGCTGCCTCACGTGCCTTACCACTGTTTACCGGACCGCCACCACCGCCACTGGTGTTGTTGTTGTCGGTATTTCTTCTTGGCCGCCGCGGACGCTCCTGCAGTGCCAGTCGCGGCAGCGTGAACAACGCGGACACACCCTCAAGAAAGAGGCCGTGGCCCCCACGGCGTGTGAGGACGGTGAATATCTTCGGGTTCGTCGCGCACTCCCGCATGGGAAGCGTGCTGAGCGGGGCCACGGCGTCATCCCGCGCGTGCACGAATAACGTCGGCACGTGGATGAGTGAGACGAGCTGTGCGTTGTTCGCGTGCCGGAGGCGGAGCGTCATCAGCGCCAAGTTCAGCGCGGGCCCCGAATGGAGCCGTTCGTCGCCCTTCACCTTTCTTGTCTTCCCCGCCACTGCGCCGCTGCAGTTGCGCTCTGAGGCGGGTGTCGCGTGCATCGGTAGCGGCATCTCCGCCTGCCCACGCGCCATATCGAAGAGCGGTGACACACGACGTGTAGTGCTCTCCTGTGAGATACGGAGATGCTGCTGCGCGTCCGCGTCGCCTCCGCCGGTGTTGCGTGTGGAGTCTAAGCTGAAGATGCCGTCGTTGTTTTCAACGACAGACTGCGGCAGCACCATCGTAGCATGAGCCACAGGATTCGCAGGCGTCGCTGAGGGCGATCGTGTGCAGTTCGCAGCCAGAAACGTGGCTGCAGAGACGTCATCTTTGCTATTCAGCAGCGCGTCCCAGTCAGTCAAGCTCATCGCCGGTTGCCATCCTCCTGTTGAGGACGGAGACGCTACACCAGAGCTGCTGCTGCTACTGTTGTTGTTATTGTTGATGTTGTCGCCGCCGCCCTTGCTTCGCACGTCGTCCAGCCACCATTCGCTCACCTCGCGATCAACGTGCGCCTCTGCACGCACCAAGGCGTCAATCCGGGTGGAACCAGACGCCAGCGGCAGCACCGGCGGGTGCAGGTGGGCGGGCGGCGGTCGAGGAACAGCGAACTCACCGCTTTTCGCCGCGTCAGGCCTGCACGTTCTCTCATCCATTGTCGACTGCACGTATTCCCACAGCGCGGCATCATTTTCATCATCCCACAGGACAATCTTCTTGTGTTGGTCTTGCTTTTGCTCCTGCTGTTGCTGCCGCCGCCAGGGCCTATGCAGGCGATCGGCCACCATCTGCAGCCGCGCGGCAAGCAGCAGCAGCCGCGCCGCTCCACTCGAATCCGAGAGGAATGTGCTGTCGAAAGGCATCTTACACACCCGCACCGCCAGTTGCCTCTCGTAATACGACGCAGACCGCCCTCTGAGACCGGTCACTGCGGGCCCCGGCGCGAGCCTGAAGTTCGACGACAGCGTGTGATTGATGCAGACGAGCCCGTCAATGCGGGACTGCGTGCCGTGTGTCATGACGTGCTGCAACAGCGGCCCACTCGCGTTCGACCAGCCAATACCAACAACGTAGACGCTTCTGGTGACGTTCACCGCGTGCTCATGGTGTTGTGGCACACCGGACAGCCTGGGCAGCTCAGTCGACTGCAGTTCCGCATCCTCGTCGGTGTACCGCACTTCCATGGTCGCATTGTCCGTACCGGACGGCGGTGGCACCGCGACGCGACGCAGCCTGCACAGATGCGAGACAACGTGATCAATGTCCTCCGCCGTCACCGGAACCCGTTCACGCTGCGAGGCCTCGGCTGCAGAAGGTTGGTACCCTGCAGGCCAGTTTACCATCTCCGCAAAGGGAACAGCAGCATGCCAAGAAGCGAAACTGAGGCCATTGGCGTCCGACATCCTCGATGCGCCCTCATGTGATGTTCTCCGTAGGTTTGACTGCTGTTGGGAGTAACACTCGTTACTACCACTGCGATGCCTGCACTGACGACGCAGTGCAGACATCATTGTTAGGGCCTGGCAGAGGGCGCCAATGCGCCGCGCCATATTACCGTGTTCGTTACCCTGCGCGACGGAGGGGCACAGAAGGAGCACCACCACCGGTGCAAGTGCATCAGAGCCTGTCGATGGGGCCGATCCGTGCAACCACTTCAGACCCGTCGCACGATGGCTCCATAACGGCGTGGTCCCTGTGTGGTCCGTACTTCCACTTTCGTTTTTGGTATCCTGCCGCCACGCAATGGAAAATACCTGGCTAATCCTGGCTCTTTTGCGGACATTGCTTTTCTCTGGTGCTTCTTTGCTCAGGGCACTGTCGTCATCATTGGTTGCAGCGCCCTCGCACTGATGCGTGGAGGAGGCACTGTGACAGTAGGGGTATTTCATAGATGACTTCATGGGGGTGAGGGAGGGCACGTAGCCACACGGCCGAGGTCGCTCATTATCTGGCTCGTCGGCTTGCTCTCGATCGTTCTCCTGCTTCTGCCGCTGCTGCACATCTCCACAGAATCTGGTCAGGAGCACTTCGACCGCCGTGGGAGGAATGAAGCAGACCTCCTCCAATGGGGCGGGAACCGCGTGGGAGTTGCGCTGTGACACCCCAAACGCGTACCAGCGCGGCACAGGCGACGAGAAGCAGACTGCAGGGCCCTTACTGCTACTACTACTACTACTACTGTCAGACTCCTTGCATGGGGCATCCCTGAGGAGAACAGACGGGGACTTTGGCTGGGGCTCCGCACCCCCATCTGTGTTGTGGAAGTCGATCAACTCCATGAGGATGCGCCAAAGCGGGTCGATGAGGGACAAGAGCAACTGCGCCTTGCCATGCACAGCGTACCAGGGCGGAATGAAACCCTTCCTCTGCTGTGTGTGAGGTGGACTTGAATGCTGCCTCTGTTGACGCCGCGAGACATCACGCTCCTTCACAGGTCTCTTGTCACCGCTCCCAGCAACGTCATCGCCGTCACTACGAGCCTGACTCCACAGTCTGCATGGAGCCACTCGTTGTGTCGGCAGCCGCTTGTATGGGACGCAGAGTGGCTGCTGCGAATTCGCCACATCGCGAAACCAACAGGACAGCGTATCAGTGCCCCTCTCACTCAAACACAACTTGTGCGAATGGTGCCCCTGCTGCCGCCGTGCCACTTCATCTGCTGGCTCATGCTGTAGGAGGGAGTAAGCCACAAATGTGGCACCATCAGCGAAGACTCCCTGCAGCATGTTGCAGCCTTCTGCTGCCGTCACCGTCATCGTCGTTGACAAAGATTCACCGCTTCGCGCACGTCGATCCTTCATGAACACCACTGCCGTGCCTTGCAGCCACTTGGAAAGCGTGTCGGCCACCACCGCCGCCCCATCTTCCCCTGCAGCACCTCCGCTGCAGCTTTCCCAGTCCTCGCTTTCATCATCATCATCCAGCAGCACCTGTTGTTGGCTCGTCGACACGGACGCACTCAAAGAATTCTTCCTCTCCTCCACACGCGTTGCTCCCGCCCCTGCAGCCGCTGAGTGCCCCATGACATTGAGGCATTCGATACGCCGCACGACGTCATAGCCCCACGATGTGTGTGAGAACAGCACCACCGCCTCCGCACGTGCTCCCCACACGGCGCTTCGTCTATCGTGTCGCTCCAGCAGCAGGTAGCGTGGGAGGAACAGCAGCACCTCGAGGCCAAGGCAGAGAAGGCCAGCAAGGAGCAGGTAGAGGGTTCGGAGGGCTTCGAGTATCCTGTGCATCTCTGACACAACTACAGGAAAACACAGCAAGAAAGAAGCGAGCCCCGCAGCGGAGGAAGTAAAGCACCACACTGCAGCAGGAGACCACCCCTAAACCACCACAGCACAGAATTGCATGGTGCCCATACAATCATCAACTTCACACACTTTTTCCTCTTGCTTGCTGATTGCTCCTTCTTTCTTTTGTTGTTGATTGTTTCCATTGCTTCTCCTCAGACGCCAAGTTGTGTTTGATTCCTTCGTTCTCTTTCGTTGCGGCCCCCATTCTTCACCCCGTGCAGAGTCGCATTCCGTTCATATGCTCTTTCTCCCATTCCGCACGCCGTCGTCCACCCCCCGTCCCGGTGTTCTCTCTCTCTCTCTC